AAGGTCCATAAACAGAAAAGTGTGTGATACCAAGCGTTGTGATGAAGCTTATGTCCCTGTCTGTTGGTTCTTTCGTGGTATCAGAGTGTTATTTTCTAAGCTAAACATCCATCTCTCCTCAGTTTGGAACTGTGTTGGCAATAACTCCCTTGCAATTTATTGTATTGGTTCCTTTTTTAATAATACCCAACAAGGCTATCCTGGGATCAAACGGAAACTAATATACCTGGTTTATACTGCTTAAAAGGCAATTCTGTACATGCCTGCTCTGAAGTCCCATTGAGTTGAATAGGACTTATTCCCAGGTAAGTGGGTAAAAGATTGCACTGTTAATGTATGGAATTATTCCGTTTCTTTTCCAGCAGTACATGGCAAATTGCTTGTTTATAATTGAGATTTTACAGGGTGTTAGAGACCATCTTGATGCCAATCTAAAAGCAAGCTCCCTAAAAGGATACGGATTTAAGAGTTTAGAAAGACCATTTTCTGCCCCATGCCTCTGTTGGAAAAACGCCCACCCCCCCAGGAAGGGTGCCAACTTCCCAAGACACCGGGGCTTCTCTCCAGTGGTCACTCTTTGGCTGGAATCCTCCCTCAGTCCAGAGAGACTGGCATAAGTGACCCCTCCATCCTGAGAGGAGCACACTCATCTTCTGGTATCCCATCACAGAAGAAAGAGACAGTCCATAGTCTACTCACTACTTTATTAAGACTGTACAAGCAAGCTCTTACAAGCATGACTGCTCTCCTGAGCAGCAAACATAAGAGTCTACAACTCGACTCACACTTTGACTCAGAAGCGAAAGTAACTCTCCGGTTACACAAGAACTGGCAGAGACTTCCTGTCTCATGCTCAGAGACATCACATGATGTCAACAATGTGCTGCTTCTCGCAGCTGGTGAGATCTGAAATCCCAATATCCTCTTGCTCTTTGTCAGTCCAGGGAGGTCTATTCCATTTTTCTACATAAATCAGATTCCTCAAATAGGAACCTAAATTTTTATATAGTAAAAGAAATAAAATGCCTAAAAACAATAACCTATTTCGCCTGCAGTCAGGTTATCATAGGCCATACCAAAGAACCCTTTTTAAAAAATAAAAAATCATGGTGGAAAACTACACCATGATGGACCCAGGGAAGGTATTCTATAAAAACAGTGTCGTGCCTCAAAATTCAGTGTCTCTGACACCCAGCCACCGAATGTCAGGTTGTAGGAGAGATGTGGAGAAGGACCTCTGATATGGTTCTAAGCAGGAGATGCCAGTAGAAGAGATTATCCTTAAGACATCCCAATTCCAGGCACTTGTGTCCAAGGTTCACTACCCATGAGTTATTAAGAACATAAGAACATCCTTACTGGATCATACCATAGACCACTGTTTTTCTCCAGTGGGTAGTATTCATAGTCATGGTGCCTCTGATCCTGCAGATATTCTTTACCAATTGAGTCATCTTCCAAACAGAATCTTCTCTGAGTATGACTGAGTATGATATTGGATATTACCTATCCAGTGTATTTTATGAAGCAGGAATATATAGCACACCAAGCAAATGAATTGTATTACTAGCCTCTGGCTTCACAAATGCTTCATGTATTCTCTGTCCACATTTCTGCCTTCAGCACATCTTGACACTGTCTTTTGCCTTGATGAAAATTGTGCACATGACAATCAAGTTCATTTCATGAAGCGTCGCAAATTAGGAAGAGGACTTGTGAAAGCAGACGTTACCTCAGGGGGAAAAATACCTGAGTCAGTTAGCGATCACTGGTGATCGTAGGTTCTTCCATAATGAATGGGCAGGTGTCTTGATGCAACAGCTTGGTAAAGTATTTTTTGTGGGGTGTTTTTTGTCTGTCACTTAGCTAAAATACTGCTACAACTAATTTTGAACTGAAACCGCCAATTTTTCTCTTTTCTATGTGACAAACAGCTGGGGACTTTATTAAATAGCAGAACATTTTCTGAAACAACAGCTAGCATAGCTGGGTTGCTAACACATTCCCTCACTTGTGAGCTGTATAGTTATGCCTTATTGATATGCAAACAACAAGAACATGTGGTCCCAACTGGATAAAGTCTTCAGAAAGGGAAACAAGTTTCTTCTTAGTTGTTACGTTATGACAGCATTGAGACTCAGATTTAAAAGGGAAGGTCTTCTCCCATGCCTACTTGCCCAGAAGCTAAGGACAATTGCTGAGGCCCCTTGAGATTTCCCATCATCTGAGGTGAAATGGATAGTGAACAGAAGGAGAAAGGGCATTCTTGGCTGTGGCAGTTGGTCTGTGGAACTCTCTCCACAAGAAAGTTTGCCTAGTGCCACGTTTGTTATCCCTTAAGCATGAAGTAACGATATTTTATTTCCTCTCAGTCACATGTGTTTGTGGTGAAGTATTTTAACGCTTCTCACATTGGCCACTTGCTAGGTTCCTGTTTTTAGACTTGTAGCTATTGACAGTACAATCCTATAAACATCCACTCAGAACTAAGTCTCATCAAGTTCAGTGGGGATTATTCCTAGGCCAATGTGTATAGGATTACGGCACAATAAGTGTTGCTATTTGATTTATTTCACTGCTTTAATTGTGGTATACCCACCTGAGCTCTTCGGAGGAAGGGTGGTGTAAAAATCTTGTAAATAAATACTTCACAGCGGTGGATAAAATGGGGGTGGAGATAAAGTATGCACAGCCCACTTGGAGGGGGAGTATTTTATGGTAAGAAATATAAGTAATAAATAATAATTTTCACATGCTGATTGCAATAAATAATTATCATGCAGCACTCCAGCCATTTGAAGCATTCTAACATATGTTGGGAGGACTCGAGTAGCGCTGTGCTCTAAACCACTGAGCCTAGGGCTTGGTGATCGGAAGGTTGGCAGTTCGAATCCCCACCACGGGGTGAGCTCCCATTGTTCGGTCCCTGCTCCTGCCCACCTAGCAGTTCGAAAGCATGTCAAGTGCAAGTCCCGCTCTGGCGGGAAGGTAAACCTGGAAGCTGTCTGTGACTGGACCTAACCTTTACCTTTACCTAACATACTGTATGTTGGCTGCATCTTTTTTTAACACATGCAAGCATTAAATGTTAATGCAAGAACGGTTCTCATTATTGAACCAATTACCATGTGTATAGGTTGTCGATGAGTTGTATCACTAATTATCCACATTCGAGAATACCTAGTCTCTCCCCAGTGTAGCCACATTTCAATGGAATCTTTTGCAATTAGCATTCCTCTTGATCTGGATTTCCGATTATAGATATATCTGTCAGATATCCCCGATTCTGGTGCATCACCATGAGCTCTTGCATACCTGAAAGTTATGCTTTAGAAGGAATAATATTGCTTCAGATATGCCAAGTGTGCCGTCATGACAAACAATTTTACTCAGAAGTGAATCCCAGTGAGCTCAGTGATAGGATCTTAGCTGCTAGTGTTTAAATTCATGTTCCCTATCTACAAGAATTCATAAGGTTACACTGGTGTTTAAAAATAAATCAATCTGCTAATAAGGGAAAGTCTGAGGTATCACGGTATGTTGTTGATGTTGTTGTTTTAAAGAAACATTAAGAAAAATAATGGCAAGAGTTTGGATTTTGAAGAATTCCTTGCATTTTGGAACACTAATATAGTCGTACCTTGGATCTCAAATACCTTGCTTCCTGAACAAATTAGATCCTGAACGATCAAAACCCGGAAGTGAGTGTTCTGGTTTTCAAACGTTCTTTTAGAAAGCAAATGTCTGACTAGGCTTCTGCTGCTTCCGTTCATTTATTATTATTATTTTTAAAAAGTTTTGTAGTTGATTTAGCTTATTTTTATTTATTTATTACATTGCCAAAGGTCATGACAGTTCAAACAATATGTTAACATACACAAATCGACACAAAAGTAATAAAGCAAATATCAAACCAATATCGAGAAAGCAGAAATTCAGACAACCCAACAGCAATCTATCTCTTACATCAGTCAAAACCATATGTTTTTGTTTTGTTTTGTGTTTTGTATTCTTACTTAGTATTTTTCTGTTGTGAACGGCCCTGGGAACTTCCAATGAAGGGTGGTACACAAATCATGTACAACAACAGCGACAACAAGCTGCCTTTCCACCAAATGGTTCTCAAGTTGGCTGAAAGCAACTTAATACAAATGCAGTAAAAAATAATAATAATAAAACAGCCATAAAATACAAAGTGATGCATCACAACCTTAGCCACTCGCCATCAAAGGAAGAACTTCACCCAAAAACTATTGGTCCTCACCTCCCATCACCAACATTTCTAGCTCGGCAAACTGCCCTTTTGAGCAAAACTAGTTTTGCCTTTGCTTGTTCTATAAGGCAAGAAGTTTGCCAGGGATTTCCAAATCTGCCATGATTGAAAATTGACTCTTTTGGCTGGTGTTGTATCAGCCACAAGGTTTGACTGGCACCTGCACCTTTGGGAAGCATCCCAATCTGTTCCAGAGCGACTCTGTGTCTTTCCAATTCAGCTCGTTATTCAGGACCGAATTACATCTGTTAAAAATGAAGCTCTGCTTCTCCCCCATTCATTATAACAGGGAATCTTAAAATGGCTGTAACTCTCCCCCTCTCCCCAGTTCCCACTTTTCACAGAAGTGGTTGAAATTTACATGCATGGGGGCTGCTCCAGAGTGAATTATGCCTGCCAAGCAGATACATCCAGGGGGGTTTCCAGAAAGGGCACCTCTAAAGTTCATTTTTTTAAAAAGAAAAGAAAGAAAAACACTTTTTAATTTTCTGTCAGGCCACGTTGCAATTTACAGGCATCAACACCACTTTTGAAGGGACAAAGCCTGCCAAACTTCAGAATGATAGCTGCGGTTATTGCCTTGCAAGGTCAGACTTGACAATGCTGGTCTTCTGCAATAAAAACCATAGGGTGGGTGGTGACAGGAAGCTGACTTATACAGAGTCAGACCAATGTTTCCATCTAGCTCAGTACTGTCTATACCAGGGTTTTCCAAACTTGGGTCTCCAGCTGTTTTTGGACTACAATTCCCATCATCCCTGACTACTGGTTTTGCTAGTTAGGGACGATGGGAGTTGTAGTCCAAAAACAGCTGGAAACCCAAGTTTGGAAAACCCTGGTCTATACTGTCTGGCAGCAGCTCTCCCGTGTTTCAGGCATGTGTCTTTCCCAACCCTACATGAAGATATAGAGAATGGAGGAAGAGCACAGATCCCCAGAAAAGACTGGGGTGGAGAAAATGTCACATCCTAGCCAAAGCCTAGATATGCTGAAATATCCTTGGAGTCGAGAGTGGATTTCATGCTCTTTATGCAGCTCATAGTGGTGAGGAGGAATGGAAATTCCCCCAGAATGTCTGCTTTATATACATTATTTACATAATGGGCCCCACGTGATTGGCTAATTCCAGGATTCTCCTGTAGGCCAATCAGGTTGCGGATTCACTTCCACCTGGAGTTGGATTGGGTGGCTCCTGTGGACCAATCAGACTGCTGCATTCTGGGTCCTGTTGTTCTAGGACCAATCAGACTGCTGCATTCTGAATCCTATTGTTCTAGGACCAATCAGACTGCTGCATTTTGGATCCTACTCAACTCAGTGCATAACATATGCCAAGTATCGTTGCTTTGGGGTGGGATTCTGCACCCAGCAGGGAATTTCAGGGCTATATCCTCTTGTCTGTAGGAGAGCTTTTGATAATTTCCATAAGAAAAGCAGCCAAGATCCACACAACACTTCTAAATCTTTACAAGAAGCATCCCTCCCCAAATCATTATGATGGGAGTGCCCTGGGAACATAGTTCACTGCAATTAAAATCTACACCTGTCTGTCAAAATGAGAGTTCCTTCCCACTTCTCCCTCTCCTTCGCTGTCCCCTTGAGCTCAGGGTGTTTCCCTCATTAGCTTGGCTTTGCTTCACTTGGTTTAAGTGGCAGTAGTCACTTAAAGATGTAGCATTTGGGGGAGGGCACTCAACTCCACAGACTCATGACCTTGTTGTTGTTGTTGTTGTTTAGTCATTTAGTCGTGTCCGACTCTTTGTGACCCCATGGACCAGAGCACGCCAGGCACTCCTGCCTTCCACTGCCTCCCTCAGTTTGGTCAGACTCATGTTTGTGGCTTCGAGAACACTGTCCAACCATCTCGTCCTCTGTCGTCCCCTTCTCCTTGTGCCCTCCATCTTTCCCAACATCAGGGTCTTTTCCAGGGAGTCTTCTCTTCTCATGAGGTGGCCAAAGTATTGGAGCCTCAACTTCAGGATCTGTCCTTCCAGTGAACACTCAGGGCTGATTTCCTTAAGAATGGATAGGTTTGATCTTCTTGCAGTCCATGGGACTCTCAAGAGTCTCCTCCAGCACCATAATTCAAAAGCATCAATTCTTCGGCGATCAGCCTTCTTTATGGTCCAGCTCTCACTTCAATACATCACTACTGGGAAAACCATGGCTTTAACTATACAGACCTTTGTTGGCAAGGTGATGTCTCTGCTTTTTAAGATGCTGTCTAGGTTTGCCATCGCCTTTCTCCCAAGGAGCAGTTGTCTTTTAATTTCATGACTGCTGTCACCATCTGCAGTGATCATGGAGCCCAAGAAAGTAAAATCTCTCACTGCCTCCATTTCCTCCCCTTCTATTTGCCAGGAGGTGATGGGCCCAGTGGCCATGATCTTCGTTTTTTTGATGTTGAGCTTCAGACCATATTTTTCACTCTCCTCTTTCACCCTCGTTGAAAGGTTCTTTAATTCCTCCTCACTTTCTGCCATCAAGGTTGTGTCATCTGCATATCTGAGGTTGTTGATATTTCTTCCGGAGATCTTAATTCCAGCTTGGGATTCATCCAGCCCAGTCTTTCGCATGATGAATTCTGCATATAAGTTAAATAAGCAGGGAGACAATATACAGCCTTGCCGTACTCCTTTCCCAATTTTGAACCAATCAGTTTGTCATGGCTAAAATGGCCGCTGTTTCTTTAATGCGAATAAAGCTGAGTCAGCATGACTCAGCGGCCTGCACCAAGTTGTATATATAGAGTGAGAAATGTTACTTTGGTTGCTGAGGTTGAGTTGGGTTGGTTGGTTAGTGTTGATGTGTATAGTGTGTCAGTTGCTTTTGCACAAAGACTTTTAAGAATAAAACTCTGCAAGGATATTCTCGTGGACTCTTTTGTGCCGAGGACCAGGCTGAGGAGACAAAGGGAGGTCAGAACCCTTTCCTCCTTTTCTGCTTTTTACAAACACTGACAGGTTATGGGCTCAGTGTTTCTGACCATGTGCAGAGTGCAGAACGACTGACAGCATCTGAGCAGGGAGCTGGTGAGTCCTGGTGGTGTATGGAGCCAGTGGCTGTGCGTTGGAGCAGTTGGTGGCAAGCTGTAACTGAGGGTCAACAGAGGCAGCAGCTAGAAGCCAGTGAGTGCCAGCCAGGACTGTCCACTCGGACTCTAAAAAGAGAGTCAGGAGAGATTGCTGGAGGCCCCACAGAAGGGGCTCAGCAAGCACCAGCAGAGATGGCAGATTTCCAGTCTTCCCAAGTTGTAAATATTGGGGGAGGCATCCCTTTTGAACTTCTCTCAGAAAGCAACTGGCTGAGTTGGTCAATTAAAATGCAGCAGTTGTTAAGGACTATGGGACTGTGTTGAAACTGAGGTTTTGAGACGGGACTCTGCTGAGAAAAAACGGCTGGATGAAAGGGCTCGTGCCCAAATTATGCTGTGTTTGAGCAACTCTCAGTTATTGCATGTAGCAAATGCCAGCACAGCGTTTGAGTGCTGGAATTTATTAAGGGCAATGCATGTCAGAGAAACTGCTGGAACTATAATTTCTCTGACCAGAAGGCTGTTCAGGACTGTTATGAAAGAAGGTGAGAGTTTGGCAACTCATCTTCAAACGCTGAAATCTCTGTTTCTTCAACTACAGCAGAGAGGTAAGCGTTATGATGAGACTGACCAAACCTACATTATCCTTTCAAGTTTGCCTGAAAGCTGGTTGCCTCTGATTAACAGCATGGAGAGTATGCATCCCCGAGATCTGACCCTTGAGTATGTGGTTGGAAGATTGACTGAAGAAGCAGAAAGAAGGTCAGATAGACAGGCTGAACTCCAAGAGCGGAGGAGTTACAGCCGAGGGGGCCAGCAGCAGATGGAGCAACGCCAAGGTTTGGACTTGACCATGGCGGTGAGGACTGCTATAGATGCAACCAACCCGGGCATCTCCAACGTCAATGCAGGGCAAGACTTCCAGGAAAAGACGTGGAGCAGAGACAGCAATCGACGCAGAAACGTAAGCAGAAGGGAAGAAGAACACACGTTCTGCTCAGTTTGTGTCTGCATTTTCTCGAGAGGAGAGGAAGATACCTCGAGGAACATGGTTGCTAGACTCTGGCAGCAGCAGGATTATCTGCAACACTCGGAAGGACTTTAAGACCCTGGGGAAGCCAGCTGATGGAAAAGACTCAATCTATCTTGCTGATGGCCGTAGAAGCAAGATTGATGGCCAGGGAACATGTTTCCTGCAGTGCTTGAACACTACTCTACCAGAGACTCTGTTTGTCAGCAGTTTGGACTATTGTTTACTGTCTGTAAGCTGTTTGATTAAAGCAGGGTATAGTGTTAACTTCACACAGGATGGTTGTCTGATAAAGAATGGAACTCAGGTATGTGGCCATGCAAAGATGGAAAACGGGTTATATGTAATGCAGGACAAGCCTGTTAAAGCAGCCAGGTGGTTCAGGATAATTTACCAGTTCATAAGGGGTGTGTACATGAACTGCACAGAAAACTGGGCCACGCCAATTTCTGTGTGCTTTCAGAGATGCAAAAGGTGTGCAAGAACCTAAAAGTAAATAGCTGTAACTGTTTCCTAGATTGCAATGTATGTAAAATGGCCAAATCTAAGAGGAAGCCTGTGGCTTCTAAAAGTGACAGAGTATCTAAAGAGGTTTTAGAACTTGTCCATTGTGACGTGATAGGCCCTTTTCCACAGAAGACTGAAGGGGCGCCAGATATGCTTTTCTGGTAATAGATGATAAATCACGTTTTAGTTGGTTGTTTTTGTTAAAGCAGAAATCTGAGTGTTTCCCCACATTCAGAGAATGGGTTGCCCAAGCTGAAAAGCTCTTCGCTCGCCCTGTTGTGCAGTTGCAAACAGATAGGGGCGGAGAATTTCTGAACAAACAATTTGGGGCATGGTTGCCATGTAAGGGGATCACTCATCGCTTGACTAACCCTTATAGCCCTGCTGAAAATGGTCTGTGTGAAAGACGTGGGGCTGTAATACAGTCAGTAAAGGACTGCCTACTAGTGGATGCAGGATTGGACCACAACCATAGGCTGTGGGGCGAGGCTTTCCTTACCGCGAACTTTTTGATTAACAGAACCTGGTCTAGTTCTATAAAAGATATTTCTTATCGTGTATTGTTTGGGAAAGAACCAGAGTGGACAATGCTCCATAACTGGGGTTCTTGGGCACATGTAAATATCCCCAAAGCTCAGCGCCAGAAAGGGGGCGCTAGAGCGCAGAAACTGCGGTTTGTGGGATATCAGTCCTATGGCAAAGGGTGGCGTTTCAATTTACGCCCAGGACGCGTGGTTCTGTCACGAAGCGCAGACTTTGCTGACCAGGACAGATGGACTGCGATCCATGCCAACCCAGATTGCCTACTGCCCCTGCAAGTAAGAGAAGAGGCTTCTTCTCAGCCATTGGCAACACAGGAGTAGGATGATGAGGAGGCACATATTTCCCCAAAAGACATGGCAATAGATAATACTTCTCTAGAGGAAGAGGAAGAAGAGCCAGAGATAAGGGGGGAAGAAGAAGTAGTTGTGCTTAGGCGCTCCCAGCGCTCAAACAAGGGGGTACCTCCTCAGCGTTTGACCCTAGGAGGAGTGAGAGTATGCAATGTGAGTTGTGTGGAACCACAAAGTTATAATGAAGTCTTAGACTTACCCCCTGGAGAACGTGCTTTGTGGGAACAAGCTATGAAAGAAGAAATGGACTCTTTTAAACGTAACAAAGTGTTTGAGGTCATAATGCCGCCACCTGGTGGCAGAGTGGTGTCATGCAAGTGGGTTTGCATCTGGGGAACCACGTTTTCGAGCCAGATTAGTAGCCAGAGGGTTCACTCAGATTAAAGGGGAGAGTTATGATGAAGTGTTTTCTCCCACTGTAAAGAGTGAAACTTTTCGTTTAATGCTTTCCATTGCTGCTGTAAGACAACTAGCAGTGCACCATTTTGATGTTGATGCTGCATATCTGCATGCAAATTTAGACCATGAAGTGTTAATGAGACAACTCCTGGGTTTGAAGAGGGGAATGGTGCAGTCTGGGGATTGAAAAAGGCTGTCTATGGTCTCAAACAAAGTGGAAGGTGTTGGAACCAGTGTTTAAATGAAGCCCTTGTAAAACTTGGTTTTAAAAGGAGTGTGGCTGATCCATGCCTGTACACCAAGGGGACAGGCAACAAATATCTAATGCTCTTAGTCTTTGTTGATGATTTGCTTGTAGCAGGGAGTTCCACAGATGAGATCCAGAAGCTCACAAGTCAACTGGAAAAGAGGTTTAAGCTTAAAGCCTTAGGGCCTGTAAGCAATTACTTGGGAGTAGAAGTAAGGCAGGAAGCTGATGGAAGCTTCCTATTGAGCCAGAAAGAGAAAATTCTTCATTTGATAGAGCAGTTTGGCATGGAAAACTGCAAGCCAGTTCAGACTCCCATGACACCAGATTTCCCAAAGACAGTGTGTGATGATGAATTTGATCAGCCTGAGTTGTATCACTCAAAAATAGGATCACTGTTGTATTTAAGCCAGTGGTCAAGGCCAGACATTGCATGTGCTACAAATGTTCTGAGCCAACGTGTATCTAAACCCAGTACTGCCGATTGGTGTGCTTTGAAAAGGCTTATCAGATATCTAAAGGGGACATTAAATGTATGTTTAAAGATATCTAGTACACAAGACGAAAAACTAGAAGTATTTGTTGATGCGGACTGGGGAAGCTGTGTAGCTACTAGAAAATCTACAAGTGGAATGGTTATGATGTTTGCCAATTCCATAATTGGATGGAGGTCAAAGAAACAAGGATTTGTTGCGACCTCATCCTGTGAGGCAGAATATGGGAGCCTGTCACTAGCATGCAATGAAATCTTGTGGTTTATACAGATACTAAAAGATCTAGGTTGTAAAGTAGATTTGCCTATCCAAGTGTATGAAGATAGCCAATCGTGCATTGCATTAGCGGGCTCGGAAATAATGAAATCCGCATCAAAACATATTGCTATCCGTCATGCGAATGTTAGAGATTGTATACAGAATGGGGTAATCAAACTGGAGTATTGTCAGTCACAAGATAATATTGCTGATTTGTTTACCAAGCCTTTGCCAGCAACATGCCATAATGAATTGATGACAAAACTGGGTTTATGTATATAGTGTATGCATGTATTGTATGTATGTATTGTTTCTGTTGGGGTTTTTTGCATTTAAGAAACAGAAGGGGTGTCACGGCTAAAATGGCCGCTATTTCTTTAATGCGAATAAAGCTGGGTCAGCATGACTCAGCGGCCTGCACCAAGTTGTATATATAGAGTGAGAAATGTTAGTTTGGTTGCTGAGGTTGAATTGGGTTGGTTGGTTATTGTTGATGTGTATAGTGTGTCAGTCGATTTTGCACTTTTAAGACTTTTAAGAATAAAACTCTGCAAGGATATTCTCGTGGACTCTTTTGTGCCGACAAGGGTCCGAGGACCAGGCTGAGGAGACAAAGGGAGGTCAGAACCCTTTCCTTCTTTCTTTTGCTTTTTACAAACACTGACACAGTTGTTCCATATCCAGTTCTAACTGTAGCTTCTTGTCCCACACAGAGATTTCTCAGGAGACAGATGAGGTGATCAGGCACTCCCATTTCTTTAAGAACTTGCCATAGTTTGCTGTGGTCAACACAGTCAAAGGCTTTTGCATAGTCAATGAAGCAGAAGTAGATGTCTTTCTGGAACTCTCTAGCTTTCTCCATAATCCAGTGCATGTTTGCAATTTGGTCTCTGGTTCCTCTGCCCCTTCGAAATCCAGCTTGCTCTTCTGGGGGTTCTCGGTCCACATACTGCTTAAGCCTGCCTTGTAGAATTTTAAGCATAATCTTGCTCATGACCTTAGGGACTCCCTAATTTGACTCAAGATGCCTTACTAATGGGACAATCTGATTTGGGCATGTGAAAACCTCACCCAAATCACCACCTTGTAATTTGGACACAGGACGCGGGTGGTGCTGTGGGTTAAACCACAGAGCCTAGGACTTGCCGATCAGAAGGTCGGCGGTTCGAATCCCCATGAAGGGGTGAGCTCTTGTTGCTCGGTCCCTGCTCCTGCCAACCTAGCAGTTCGAAAGCACAAAGTGCAAGTAGATAAATAGGTACCGCTCCGGCGGGAAGGTAAACAGCATTTCCGTGCGCTGCTCTGGTTCACCAGAAGCGGCTTAGTCATGCTGGCCACATGACCCGGAAGCTGTACGCCGGTTCCCTTGGCCAATAAAGCGAGATGAGCACCACAACCCCAGAGTCGGCCACAACTGGACCTAATGGTCAGGGGTCCCTTTACCTTTACCTTTAATTTGGAAATGCACAGAGCTGATGTTCACTCCTGTTCACTCCCTAGTTAATATAATTTCTTTTCTTTAAAATTCATAAAAAACATAAAATGGGGGTGGTGATGAGATGATGTCTTCATTCAAATTACTTCTGCCAGTGCTTTTTATTCAGACCTCTTCAAGATGAACTTGGTAGATGTTCAAAACAAAACAACGGACTTTGTGCCAAGGCTGGGCCATCCATGAGGCATATTGAGACATCTGCCTCAGGTGGCAGATTTCAAGGGGCGCCAATGTGGTTACTGCTGCTGAAGAAGCAAGGAAAAGCAGCTGAAATGGGAACTTCTGAATTTTGGCAAGAAGTAGCAAGAGCCCTGTGAATTCTCAAAAGATCTTGGGGGGGGGGGCTCACTAGAAGCAACTGCTGTGCAACCCTGATAAGTGAGGTTTCAGAAGAGGCAGCAAGGACGCCATGCATGCAAGGCAAGAATGCTTGTGGAAACTGGACTCTCTGAATTGGGTGTTAACAAATCATGTAAACTGGTGACCACTTCATCCCCATATTAGCAGGTGCCACACTAGGGTTATGAAGCTGTGGGAGTGAGTGATTTGGTTCAGCCCTAGGGATCATAGAATCATAGAACTATAGAGTTGAAAGGCACCTTTAGTATATTCCCTGGCTTTCATCCCAGCAAATCTGGCCACCTTGTTAAGGATACTTTTTCTGGTTGTGGAGGTCATAATTTCATCCTTCAGACTTGAGGCTTATGCAACATGATTCCAGTGGCTTTTCTGAAGATGTAATTTCTGGCAAACAGAAGGTCCCTGTACTCAGTGGCCCATTATAATCCGAGAGGTCAAATGCTGGCATGCAGGAATCTCTATTCTAGGCTACGTTTCCGCATTAAAGAAAATAAAGACATCCGACAATTGTACTCTTTGTATACAGAGAGAAAGCCGGTGTTGTAAATATAGTACTGCCTTTTCTGATTATGAGTCCCCATTTCTTCCAGGTGATGATTGCAGGGTTGAAAGCTATGTTCTTTCTAAATATCAGCTGTTTTTTTTGTTTTGTTTTAGGCAATTTGTATTGTTTTTCTTGGGCCTTGTCTCTTTTTAACATTCGGAGTCAACCCTTGGAAAAGGGTTAATGGCATAAAATGACGCAGTCAAACATTCAGCTGGCTTGGGCTCCCCTCCACCACTTTTACATATTTGAAAATCACCATGGAAGGACACTGCAATTTTCTAAAATCAATATAATTCAAGGAAGACGGTTGGAGGAGTGAGGAAAGGATGTGTACCCAAAAGTCAGGTAGAAATAACTAGCTAGACATGATTGCAAGGCTGGATGAGCAGGGGAAATTCAAAGGCCAGTATCTGAAAGTGAAACCTAAGCTATGTAATGGACATCTAAGTCCAACTTGGTTTGGCTAAACTCTTCTAAATGCCACATCATGGCAGCATCAGCATTAGGGAATTTTTGTCATGCTAGGTGCCATTTTATAAGACACCTTTGAGGCTGAGAAACATGACACCAAAATGTCAAACTTGCACTTAATTCCAACACTTAGTTGAGAGCAGACGATCTCGTCTTCGTGTATTCTCATTACTAATCTTCTTACTTAAAAGTATGTGGCAATATTATTGGTACAGTGCAGATTTTGATA